CTCTGCTCTGCCCCTCCAGCGATCACTTGAGAATGCTGAGCTGGAGAGGGGGCAGGCGCAGCCAAGTGTCAATCAGGCAGCTGGGTAGATCCGGACAATATGCTCGGGATCCTTTCAGAGCCTGGAGCAGCACTGTGAAGTCAGCCGATAGCGGACTTTAGCCCGCTGTTGGCTGATTGTAGGTCACAAGAGGGTACAAGCAAGTGCAATTCTGTGACACACAAGTATGTGTATTAATACCACTTTAACACACTTTCTGTCCTAGGGTGACAGTGCTCACTTACTTAACTATATGGAGGAGTAATGTTGTCACCTTAGGGCATGTCTACAAAACCTATTCTCTCCTCCATAACTTAGGGAGAGGTGTTCTGTAGTCCACCAAGATAGCTGGGAACAATGCTAACTGATAACAGTTAGCAGAGTGTACAGGAAGTTATGATCCTCCACGGTTACTGGCACAATCAACAGTTGCTTTTTTTTCCCCCACTTTTCAAACAGACTATATCTGTTCAAAGTGCAGCATTTATAAAGCTTGTCAGAGCTGATTGGAGGGAAGGGAAACACTCCCCTTCACACAGCACACAGGAGCAGAGCTGAGGCTGTCAATCACAGGCTGTGTGTTGGCGGTCCCTCGCCTTTCACCTTTTTATATCTTGGTGTCAGGAAAACCTGCCAGGAGTGACTCACGCTGATAACACAGGAAAGAGGAAGCAGAGAGTCACATATTTCTCTGGATTGAGACAAGGGGATATGCTTTTTTCAAATTTTATGTCTGAGGTTTACAACCACTTTAACAGACCAGAAGGCTTGGTTCACACCTATGCTTTTTTTTTTTTTTAATCTTTTTTAATGCATTTTGCATTGGGCTGCACATTTTTAAAGCATTTTGCGTTTTTTTTTTTTTTTTTTTTGTGGAACATTTTTTGTTGCTGGCCAGAAATAAAACACAAAATTGCAAAAATGAGGCAAAAAATCCACTACATGCAGTTTTAGCAGCTTCTCCATTGAACTCTATTGTAGCAAAAACTCTGCTTTTTGCATTTAAAAAAGTCCCTGACCCTTTCCAAAAAATGCAACAGGTCAAAAAAGCATAGATGTGAACATGTTCCATAGGAAAACATGGTAAATGGATGTAGTGTGTTTCTGCAAAAAAGCAATAAAAAACGCATTGGTGTGAACCAGGGGGAAGGTTCTAGTTTTGGATAGTGTGGGACAGAGTTTAGAATACCTGTGACGTTCATCTACCCCATTGCTACTGTTCCATCTTTAAATGGCATTCTGGGTCTTACACTGCAATTGGGTAAGTTAGTAACTGCGTGGCGTGCGGCACTCAGAAGCAGAGCGGACCGGTGGCAGTGACGTGGAGTTGGCTGATATCTGCAGTTTTTCCATCAGCATTGCTCTTCACATTGCTTAACAAAATAACCCTGATAATTTTTTATGCCGTCAGCAGTTTTTGAAATGCATCTGTCATTAGAGAAATATATGGGCTGCCATTACTGTGTGCTTACTGAAATGCTAAATTCTTCGCTGCCTCTGGGTTCAGTAGTTCTGAATCACAGATGTCAAAATTTCTGATCTCTATACTTGTTCTGGGTCAGCGTCATAAAGTGCTGAAATTTAATGTATCCGCAAGACGGCCAGACAACTGGGATTTTCCAGGTTTTTGAAGTTGTAATTTTTGTCACAATTTTTTGGAAAATGAAGAATCTAAAAAAAAATGTTTTTTTCACAATTTTTTTACATACGGCCACAAGTGCAGTACAACTTCATCATATTACTGGGGTGGAGGTGATCAGAGACACTGACTGGTGACAGTATGTACAAAATAAAAAAAAAACTATTTAAAAAAAAATGTTTTATATTTTTTCTTTTTAATTACATGTTTTTATTTATTTATTTATTTATTTTTTTTGGACATACTGTGACCAGAGCAATACAGTGTTACCATAGTAACAGTGTACCACTCTGGAGAAGTGATCAGGATTTTTTTAAAAACATTATGATTGCTTATACCAACCGCTCCATATCCGCCACCCCCCTCTGCCAATCCCTCCACTGGCTTCCGATTGCCCAATGCATAAAATTCAAAATATTAACATTAACGTACAAACCTGTTCATAACACTGCTCCAAACTACATCACCGACCTGATATCCATCTACCACCCAAAACGTACTCTCCGCTCCTCACAAGACCTCCTTCTCTCTAGTTCCCTGGTTTCCTCCTCCCATGCCCATCTCCAGGACTTATCCAGGGCTTCCCCCATCCTCTGGAACTCACTACCCCAATCCATCAGACTGTCACCTTCCCTACTCACCTTCAGGCGCAACCTGAAAACCCATCTCTTCAGAGAAGCCTACCCCGCCCTCACCTAATTTGCTGATCTCCTCCGCTGTTCCCACCACTCCATCCCCCACAGCTATTTCCTCCTGTACCACTATCCCCTCCCTCCTAGATTGTAAGCTCCAAGGAGCATGGCCCTCGAACCCCTCGTGTATTGTATTGTTGCTGTGCTGTCTTGTGTACTGTCTCCCATTATAATGTACAGCGCTGAGCAAACCGTTGGCGCTATATAAATACTGTATAATAATAATTATACCAGTGAATTTCACTGGTATAAGCTACCATTTTTACTGAATTAAATTGATTCATTCAGTGTGTATTGTTGTGATTACCTGTGATTGACCCTGTCTGTACCATGTGCTCACTGTGACCAGTCACAGCTAGCAACACAGTTATGCACAATGAAGGGCATGAATCAAAGCCATTCATTGTTTACAATTGTCATGTGATCTGCTGTGATTGGTCACAGCGATCACATGGTACTGGAAGCGGTCTGTACACTGATCAGTCATCGACTGTGTTCGGAGGGAACAGCTGGTGACTGATCACGCTGCAGTGTGGCCCGTGGAGCACATGCGCGAGGCGTGTTCAGGGAGGTTATCATGCAGTATGATTCCACCTGAAATGACAAAGGTCCCACCCAGCCATCATTTGACAGTAGGCTGGGTGGGAAGTGGTTAAGGAAAAATAAGTAATGGCAGCTCTCATATTTGGTGTCCCATAATTAAAGAAAAAGCTTTCTATTTTATTATTTAATCTTTTTCGTTAAAGTGGTTGTAAACTTTTCCATATACCCAGTGACGTGACTAGCCTCAGGTAATACAGAGAGAAAACAAATCCTCATACATAAGTTGTACCTGCTTATCTGTAGTATTCTCTTCTCCACATCTATTAAGTCCAGAATTTATAAAGCTAGTCTGAGATGTCAGAAAAAAAGGGGGCGGGGAGCTGAAGTTACACTCTGCAGAGGTCTGTGAGAAGAGCTCTGAGAGCTGATTGAAGGGACCCCCCCCCCCTTCACACAGCACACAGGAACAGAGCTGAGGCTGTCAGTCTCAGGCTGTGTGCTGGAGATCGCTTGTCATAAGTGATTCATGCTGATAGCAGAGGAACAAAGCAGCAGACAGAAATGACACTTAGTGTTCCTAAATGACACAAGTATACTCTATAGAGGGATATGATTTGTTCATATTTCATGTCTGAGGTTTACAACCACTTTAATTCTAATGCATAGTTATATTGTGCATATAGGGCATTCAAAGGACAACTCAAACTGGTCAGCTTTCAATGGCATCCAGAAACATTGCTGATGAGAGGAAATATATATATATATAGTGGCCTGCATTTCTACTTGTCTCCTGAGTGTCCTATAACCTGCACTGTGTATGATCTGTTGTGGTGGTCAGGTTCTGTGCCCTCCTGCAAACATGACCAGGGAACTAAAGATGGCTTGTTAGTCCCACTCAAACAATACCTACCCCCCATCCTTAACCTAAGTAACCACGCTGACAACAAATGGAGTTAATGGCCCAAAACCGTCCGTTTATTACAACCATCAATAAATAAAATATTTTAAATGACAGAAAAACACAGGCCTAACTAAGCCTCCAGCCGCAACATCACTGACTCGGAGACACCACCGCAGATACCCCCACCAGCACAACTGGAAGCCGTACTCAGACGGGTTCCTACAAAGTGCCTTTTCTTGTGCCCACCTTAACCAAGGAGGACCTTGCACCCAGCCAAACATCCCCCAGCACCAATATGGCACAACCACCACCCAGACAAAACATAAAACACGGGGGGGGGGGGGGGGGGGGGCGGGAAGGAAGTTTGCCCTGTGAAAACTCTCTCCAGACTGAAAAAAAAAACCCTGCCACACCCTGTAAGACCACCCCTCATAGCTCCCCCCAATCCTTCCTTAACTATCTTGACTCCCCCTTATGCTAATGGAACTCTGCCTCTCCCAACCCCCTTTAACCCCTGTCATGCCGGCCCGTTGTTCAAGTCTTCTTTCTTCTTACTCCAGGCCTTCCTTTACTGTACATACAGGGGTAACTAGTGGGCATTGGTGGAAACAACATTTGAAAAGGAGTTGGGTGGTAGGAAAACAAAGAAAAGTTATTAAGGTTGAAAATGGAAAGAAAGGGTTATGAAAGCTAATCTAATGCAGGTAAAAAACATATCTTTGCTTCCAGTTATAAATTTATTGGAAAATCATCGATTTTTACAAATAATTAGCATAAGTACCCAAATCTGTTTGATATAATCTTCCCATAATCCCTTTTACAGCAGACTGGAAAAGGAAGGGACCTTTCAAACAGTCAGTGTGAAGAGCACAGGGATCACCCCATCACTGAGCTGCTACTCCTTTATTGACCAATCAGAGACTATGTTGCTTTACTGCAGTAGAGGTAACTGTGCTTTTGGGATCACAAGAGTGGCTGAACAAAACTATAAACTCTTTATATTTTCAACAGCACATTTAGCTATCTTCTTGCTGTTCAGCTTTTATATGGAAAATATTAAGGTTAATATGGCCTTTGCTGGTCAAACCAGAACAATAGCAGCTAGTAGTTAGATTTATAAGGACAGTACGGCACACTACTTAATTAGGATCGGAAGCATTATCTAATATTTTTTGGCTGTTTGCAGTTCCAGAAAAAACAGATGAATCTCTTGGCCAGATTCAAAGGAGATGGAGTACGATACAAAGCCAAATTAATTGGAATCGATGATGTTCCAGAAGCTCGCGGAGATAAAATGAGTCAGGACTCCATGATGAAGCTAAAGGTACATTTTCTATTCTTGGGAGTCTGTGCTATTTGGGGGGTTATGATGGGATAGGGATGCGCACGGCAGAAAATGTTTTGTTTCATTTCCGATTTGTTCATAAAGTTAATCAATTCATTTAGTCAAATTCGTTAAGTTAGAATGATTAGTTTATGCAATTCATTTGGAACATTTGGATTTGTTACATATATTCGAATTCGATTAATATATTCATTATATTCCAATTGATTTGAATTTCGGAAGACTCTACTGTATATTCGATCTATTTTATTATGTTTCATTCTTCTATTTTCTATTCAGTTTTATTCTATTATATTCTATGCTATTCTATTTTATTGTATTTTTTTTCTTGTCTTTTTTTTTTTTTGTTTCTTAAACATTTTATAGTGAGTTAACAAAAACATATAACTATTCTTTCAATTACTATTCTGTTTTATTCTATTCTCATCTATGCTATTCTATTTCTTTCTATTCTATTTTGTGTTTTATTCTATTTTAATCTGTACAGGGTGCAGCAACATAACTTCCTTTTTTCAAAACGCAATAAAACCCATTTTATGAATCAGAATTGTTTTTATTGTCTTTAATAATGTAGGTACATATCTAAAGTTCTGTTTTACACAGTTTTGAAAATCATATCAGGTAGGTGACTCCCCCCATTGTCCATACACTGAATAAGTGAATTCAGACCGGTATGTGAACATGTTGCAGGAATTTTGTTTTTCCACGACTTGATGAATTGGACTTAGGGGACATTTGGTTCCAACAGGACAGAGCAATGGCTCACACTTCAACAGCATCAATGGCTGTTTTAACCACTTTGAATTCTTATACTGTACCGCGCTCCAATATTATCAACCTTTTGTGATTAACCTTTTTTGGTTGTGTGAATTTCTTAATATACCACCTATAATCCAATCATTACTTACTTCTATGGTGCTTAAATATACAATTAACATAAATTAATTTATAAATATGAATTAAAAAATTATATGTGATTATAACAAATATTAATAAAAAAATTAATGAAAAATTGGAATGTCAATTCTATGTGAATAAAATAATAAAAAATTAATAAAACATTAAAAAAAAAAAAAAAAAAAAAAAAGGGAATGTCAATTATTTTCTTTAAATTTGAGATGGTGTTGTTATTCAATTTAGTTAATGTGATAAGTCTGTGTTGGCAGCTTGAACCTCTCCCTCGTCTCCTCTCCTCTCTCCTCAGCTCAGCTTTCTCAATTGTGCTTTCTTCACTGGCTGCTTTGTTTATTCCTCCATATACGGAACATGCAGAGAAGGGAAAAGAAACATAGTGTCTTATCCGGGATATAAGTGATTTATTGCTCTTTGATCTCCCACTCACATTGTGTAAATGTAAATAACGCTTTGCATACAATGTATCAAGATCGTGCTTCAGACAGCCTGGCTGATGTGTTTGCTTGCAGTAAATATACTCGCCGTTCCTCTGTGGATGCGTGATAACGTCACCGCCCCTCCCCTACGCGTTACGCTACAGGGACTCGTAGCTTCCTCTGGGGGATGTGGATTCCACATCCCCCAGAGGAAGCTACGAGTCCCTGTAGCGTAACGCTGTGATTGGCCTTTTACCACATCACGTGATCAGCTGTGTCCGTAGGACACAGCGATCATGGAGATCGCCGGGTGCGCGCCCCCTGGGGCGCGCAGGAGAGCGCGTTCTGGGAGGACGTCATATGACGTCCACCCAGAACTGGCCGGCCGCGGTGAAGCCGTCATTCGGCTATGCGCGGTCGGCAAGAGGTTAAGGGAACACTTCCCGGAGCGCCTCATCTCAATAAGGGGGATTTGGAGTGGCCAGCCCGCTCCCCCGATTTGGCCCCTTACGACTTTTTTTTTTGTGGGTTTTTTTGAAATTGTACCTACATTATTAAAGACAATAAAAACAATTCTGATTCATAAAATGGGTTTTATTGCGTTTTGAAAAAAGGAAGTTATGTTGCTGCACCCTGTATTATACTCTTCTATTCTATTCTGTTTTGTTCTGTTCTGTTATATTTCTTTTTTTCCATGTAGGAATCATCATTTTATTTACATTTTATACCTTACTGTATTTATTGCAGTGTTTCCATTTCGAATTTGAATTCATTTTCAAAATCCAGTTCAAATTCATTTTGGAATTCAAATTCATTTTCCAATTTCAATTCGAATAATTTGTTATTTTGTTATGTTATTTCATTATAATTTATAATTCGTTACAAATCTTCCAGATTTCGATTCATAACTAAATGAATCACGTGTCTATTGGGGGAGTTTTAAATGTGGCCTCTGACTGTTGTGTCCCAGAAACATTAGCGCACACTGGGCATCATTCACTTGTAGGACTGCAAAATTTGCTGGACAAAATTGGAAATATTTTTCTGTATGTGTTTGAAATGTGTAATTGTTGCCAGAAGTTTTGGTTTAACTACAGGCAACTAGCTAACCATATCATAGGTACCATATCAGAAAGACAGGTCCAGCAGTGAGTGTTTACTTTAAAGCGGAGTTCCACCCATTTTTAATACTTCACCTTATTATGTAGTCCCTGTGAAATAAAGCACAAGTTGGATATTTTTTTTTTTATTATACATACCTTTTAATCCACTGCAAGCCTGCAGTTCTGGTCCTGACCGCCTAGGCGATGACATTGTAAGGCGATTTGCAAGGTCTCCTGGGATGTAATTTCCTGTATCCCAGGAGTTCTTTGGTTTCCTGTAATCGCGGGACTTGGAAACCAGAAATGACGAGAATGGGAGGAGTTTCGTGCCATTTCACCGGAGTCCATGATATATTCCCTTCCTTGCAGTACAGTGCTGTACAGGTTGCCTGATGGGGGCGGGAGGGTGGGAACCTCATTCTTCCCCACCATTGTTATGGCAACCTGTACTGCACATGTCGCTCCAAGCAGTGTCGGTACTGTGCATGCGCGAGAATGAGTGGTGCATGCTGGGATAGCCAGCAGCATGATTCCAGGAAATAAATACCTGTGGGCTTCAGATGCCCACAGCCATCATGGCGCCTGCCTGCTTCCAAGATCCTGGTAAATGTTTACGATTTTCTAAGTATTTACAATGCTTTTAACCACATCCTGCCCACAATATAGTAATATGACGGGCGCAAGGTGGTTCTCTCGTTTTGGGAGGACGTCATATGACGTCCTCCCATTCTCACTGCGCATGCGTGGCTCAGGGAGCGCACAGCACGGCGATCGGCGGTGCGCTGTGTCCCTCGGATACAGCGAATCACTGATCACAGAAAGATCCGAAGATGTCGGCTCGGTCATGTGATCAGCTGTGTCCAATCACAGCTGATCACATGTAAACACGGAAATGCCGGTTATCGGCATTTCTCTCCTCTCGAGCTGTCACGCTGACAGCTCAAGAGGAGAGGAGAGCCGGTAATCGGCTTTCCGAGGAGGGGACATCTACACAGATCATCAGGGCACTGATGAACTGTGTGCCCTGATGATCAGTGTAGCCCCAGCAGTGCCACCTGTCAGTGTCCATCAGTGCCTTATGTCAGTGCCTCGTGCCAATGCCCATCAGTGCCACATCAGTGTCACATATCAGTGCACACCAGTGCACATCAATGCCACATATCAGTGCCCATCTGAGCTGCCTTTCAGTGTCACCCATCAGTGCCAGTCAGTGCCACCTATCAGTGCTGCCAATCAGTGCCACCTATCAGTACCAGTCAGTGCTGCCTATCAGTGCGCATCAGTGCCGCCTATCAGTGCCAGTCAGTGCCGCCTATCAGTGCCAGTCAGTGCCGCCTATCAGTGCTGCCTTTCAGTACCATGTATCAGTGCTGCCTTTCAGTGCCCATCAGTGATGCCTGTCAATGCCCATCAGTGTCTCCTCATCAGTGCCCATCAGTGCCACCTATCAGTATCCATCAGTGCAGCCTATCAGTGCCCATCACTGCAGCCTCATTAGCACACATCAGTGAAGGAGAAAAATCACTTATTTACAAAATTCTATAACAAAAACTAAGAAAAAACTTTTTTTTTTCTCAAAATTTTCAGTGGTTCTTGGTTTGTTTAAGAAAAAATAAAAAACCCAGAGGCGATTAAATATCACAAAAATAAAGCTCTATCTGTCACAAAAAAATGATAAAAATTTCATGTGGGTACAGTGTTGCATGACCGTGTAATTGTCATTCAAAGTGCGACAGCGCTGAAAGCTGGAAATTGGCCTGGGCAGGAAGGGGGTATAAGTGCCCTGTAGGCTAGTGGTTAATATTGAATTATTCCAATTGTTAATGCTATTTGTAAGCTCATCGTGGATCTGCTTTTAACAAAATATTTTTAGGGGGACTGGAGCTCCGCTTTAATAATCGGGTAAAATAACCATCAACCCAGGGCATCATCACTGCAACAAGAAAAGTTGTAATCCACCTTGAGTGGTACAAGAAGTACAAGGCACTTACGGTCTTTTTGCAGTTGTTATTGTGAAAGGGTTGCAATCATATGGCAGAGAGGAGTTGCCAGCCTTGTGTATGTTATATTTCGCAATAAAGTTTATGAGAAGAACGGGCGTTCCCCAGAACATCTTTGTTCTCACACGTTCTCACAGGATATCACAAGTCACTTACTAGTTCTCATTATCTTGATGTCCTTATGTTCACTTTTTGTACTACGCTCATGGATAAGCAGAGACAATGTACTGTAGCTCCATGAAGGACACTGAGTTTTCAGTACCATTCAAGGCTACTAAATGTTCTTCCAAAAAGCCCAGCTTACCAACCAACTTGAGTCTCTTTTGTTATTGTGTCTCTAATTAGAAATGTTTTGTATTGTCCTTTAGCCAATAGATCATCCTTTCTCAGTCTACTTAATCTTTGAAATATTTTTCAGGTCACAGGGAACGCCTGCTAAAACTATTTATATCTGTAATTCTTGGTAAATTAGCATAATTACTACCATGTAAAACATATTATATATAAAAATAAACAGGCATACCTAGCATAGTTGCCGCCCTGGGTAGATCATTTTTTTACAACCTCCTGCTCTGTACCACAAATTTTTAGTTATAACCCAAAGGCATGCTTGTAGGTTAATGGCTCCTGTCTAAATTAGTAAGGGTATGTATGAATGTGAGTTAGGGACCTTAGATCGTAAACTCCTCAAGGGCAGGGACTGATGTCAGTTCACAATATATGTAAAGTGATGCAGAAAAATTGTCAGCTATATATTAATACCTGTAATAAACAAATAATTGAAAAAATGAAATTAAATAAATAATGATAACAAATGCAGAATGTAAAAACTGTGGTGTTCCCTAACATTAGTGGTTAGTATAGAAGAGCCCCCTTGCATTGGTGGTCAGTGTAGGGGAGAGATCAATTTGTCATTGCTCACTGCTCAAGGAACACCTACCAGCCTCAAGAGGAGCCCTGGTTGAGGGATTCCTTGACTCCTGGTGCCAACCTGCGGCCCGAGGGCCATATGCAGCTCTTTGGTATATGATGTGCAGCCATCGGACCTCAGCAGTCTGTGGTGGGAACATTGATTAGTGTAATAGCACTGGTCTCTATTAGCTTCATATAATATGTTCCCAGTTATCGTCTGCAGCATATCTCCAGTCAAAAAAGTCCACACTCTCTGACCATCCTTTCCTCTCCTAGGTCTGCAGTCTCTGACAGTCCTCTCAAGCATTACATACACTCACCGGCCACTTTATTAGGTGCACCTTGCTAGTGCTGGGTTGGACCCCCTTTTGCCTTTAGAACTGTCTTAATTCTTAATGGCATCAATTCAACAAAGTGTTGGAAACATTTCTCAGGGATTTTGGTCCATCTTGACATGATAACATCACGCAGTTGCTGAAGATTTGCTGGCTGCACATCTCCTTTTTCACCACATCCCAAAGATGCTCTATTGGATTGAGATCTAGTGACTCTGGAGGCCATTGGAGTACAGTGAACTCATTGTCATGTTCAAGAAACCAGTTTGAGATGATTTGAGCTTTGTGACATGGAACATTATACTGGTGGAAGTAGCCATCATAAGATGGGTACACTGGCACCCAGTGTGGTCTTCTGCTGCTGTAGCCCATCTGCTTCAAGGTTTTATGTGTTGTGCACTCAGAGATGGTATTCTGTGGTTGTAACGAGTGGTTATTTGAGTTACTGTTGTCTTTCTATCATCCCGAACCAGTCTGCCCATTCTCCTCTGACCTCTGACATCAACAAGGCATTTTCGTCCACACTGCCACTCACTGGATATTTTCTCTTTTTCGGACCATTCTCTGTAAACCCTAGAGATGGTTGTGGGTGAAAATCCCAGTAGATCAGCAGTTTTTGAAATACTCAGACCAGCCCATCTGGTACCAACAACCATGCCACGTCCAAAGTCACCTAAATCCCCTTTCTTCCCCATTCTGATGCTCGGTGTGAACTTCAGCAAGTCATCTTCTCCAAGTCTAGAAGCCTAAATGCATTGAGTTGCTGCCATGTGATTGGCTGATTAGGAATTGTGTTACCAAGCAATTGAACAGGTGTACCTAATAAAGTATTCGGTGAGTGTATATTGAACATTATGTGTGGCCCTCCATAAGTTGGCAGCCACTGGCGTAGACTGTTAATGTGACACTAAGCTGGGGGTGTATAAATCTATTCAAGTGTATATTTTTAATGTAAGAAAGTCCCTTTTTATTACTCTCAGCCTCCTCCAAATCTCCAAATTCGACTTTATTGCTGCTGTTATCTGACTTAGATGGTGGTTTGTTCTCCATGGTCCCACTGTATGTGTGAATGTAGCCACCCTCTCTTGCTCACTCCTGAGATGGACTAGGGACTATGGAATTTGTCAGAACAGTGACCAAAACTGATGTACAATCCTCATTCCAAACAAATGGAATTGAGAGGGAAAAAGAGAGGTTTGGGAGCTCACTGAGGACATTGAGGAGGCACAAAAATACAGTAAGCACAGTAAGAAACAATTTAATGAAAATACATTACAAAGCCATTAATTAGTGGATGTATATGGGTTTTTATGGGGAAAATAATTATATTGTTTAGTGTCACTTTAAAATTTGCAGTGGAAAACCTTGTCTTGGAAGATGAAAGTCTGAATCTATTCAGGAGCAATACAGGAATTTCTTATGTAATAATCATCTGTGATCGGTTTGGAGTTTTTGATCTCATTTATGTTTTCCTTTGGCAGGGGATGGCGGTGGCAGGTCGATCTCAGGGACAGCACAAGCAGAGGATCTGGGTGAACATTTCACTTTCTGGAATAAAGATAATTGATGAAAAAAACGGGCGTAAGTTTTCCAAATTCCCATCATAGGTTCTGGCACAAACAGAACATTGTTTATTGTCTGTCTCTTGAGTAGCTGAAATGTATCTTAGGCCCCTTTCACACTGATGTTGTGCGGTTTGGCTGTACCGCAGGTGCAGCGCCGTGTACCCGTGGGTTCGGTGCGGGTTAGCTGCACTTTCCCATTGACTTCTATTATGTCCCGCAGTTTTGGTGTGCTTTCTGAAAAAGCACCAAAATCGCAGAATATATTAGAAAGCGCAGCTAAACTGCACCAAACCCGCAGCCAAAACGCACCCCATCAGTGTGAAAGGGGCCTAAAGCTAACATTTCTTTTAACTTAGGCTACAGTAATAAAGGGTTTGGAACCCTGTCAGGCTTTTATCATGCTTGATCCTTAGTACTTGTTCACAACTGTGGCTCCTTAGTACTTGTTCACAATCCATGCTCCGATTGCTTATCAAAGGTGTTGACAGGCATTGAGGAGGGAATAAGTCACTTCCTCAGTGAATGATTTAACTCTATAATTGCAGTACTACAGCACCAAAATCACATGCATTGCATGCGGTTGCAGTGCGGTTCTTGGCACATCCCCATAGTGCTGCATTAGTTGCATTCAGCGGAGCCACCACTCGCCAAAAGCAACATGCTGTTTAAATTTAGATTTTTGTGCCTATGGCATGTGTACAGCTGTGAGTGGCTGCATGCAAGTGTTCAGGTGGGTGCTCAGGGGATGGTAAAACCACAGCTCAACCACCTGGTTTTGCCCCCATGCTCACATGTGAACAAGACTTTACTGTGGTGGTGCACTACTGATGCATGGATTGGTTCTGGATGGATTTGTCTAAAGGTTTTTTTTCGCTGTCTGTGTCCACACTAGGGGTATTTACCCTCTCTATTTGTCCTAATAACCATTTTTACTGGGGACCAAAAAATGGGAAACTGTTTCTGTTACAGACACTATAGTATAAATATTCTCTGTAGTAGTGCCAATGGACACAGCCGCTTGGCCGTGGGCAAAATTCAGCCCGCCAGGCAATTTCATCCTCGCACCTCTCCTGCAGCTGTGGTAACCCCCTCATCTTAGCCTTCACCTTGTCCCAGCAGTCAGCAGCAGAGAGGAGGACAGAACTCCTCTGCCAGATCCTGCACTTCTGTGTTCAGCCACAGAGAGGCTCATCCTGCCAACCCCCATATCAGCAGTCAGCAGCAGAGAGCAGGACAGAACTCCTCTGCCAGATCCTGCACTTCTGTGTTCAGCCACAGAGAGGCTCATCCTGCCCACCCCCATATCAGTAGTCAGCAGCAAAGAGGAGGACAGAACTCCTCTGCCAGATCCTGCACTTCTGTGTTCAGCCACAGAGAGGCTCATCCTGCCCACCCCCATATCAGCAGTCAGCAGCAGAGAGGAGGACAGAACTCCTCTGCCAGATCCTGCACTTCTGTGTTCAGCTACAGAGAGGCTCATCCAGCCCACCCCCATATCAGGAGTCAGCAGCAGAGAGCAGGACAGAACTTTTCTGCCAGATTCTGCACTTCTGTGTTTAGCCACAGAGAGGCTCAGCCAACCCCCTCCCCCACCATATCAGTAGTTAGCAGCAAAGAGGAGGACAGAACTCCTCCTACAGATCCTGCACCTCTCTGTGCAGCCACAACACCCCCTCGTTTCCGCCTCCCCTCGTCTCAGCTTTCAGCTGCCTCCAGCCTTCCTGGGGTCCTCATCCAGATCCTTCACTTCTTGCTTCCCAGCACCACCCCCAGCTTCTACCCAGCAGAAGCACAAGGAAGGGGGGTGCACTCTGATGTAAGAGAGGGTGAGGACTCTTGACTTCTGATGATGGGGGTAGGGGGCTCTTGACATGACATCTGATGTAAGTGGGGTGGGGAGATCTGGATATCTAGTCTTACAGATTCAACCAGCCCTTTGAGGGCAACCATTGAGGGCAGCCTGTGATGAAATTGAGTTTGACCACCTTGCCATACACCTAAATGGCCTACCAACACAGAGCATTTGGCAGCTCAAGCTGCATAAAAAAATGCTCCGTTCATGGTCTATGGGCCTCAGCGCCCATGTCAATGAGGTCCAATGGCCCATTCACACTAGAATGCCATGTGGGAAACCCTGATCATTTCTTTGTGAGTGGGCAAACATTCAAAATCAGCAGGGGATCAAATACTTATTTCCTTCACTGTATGCATGATGCACGTTCCTGTGCGCTTCCCAGTGTGAATGGGCCCCTTACTCGCCAGCATCTTCAAAAAAATCAGGTGGACTGGCTCTTCATTGACTTTACAGCTATGCTACTTAGAGAAGGATTACAACCCCAAGTCCAGAACTCCAGCATGCGCTCCTTTCTCATAGTTACGTGGAAGAAATAAATGAAGTGAGAAAACACATGAAGACAAATATTCGACCGCTTGTGCTAGCTCCAGCCTTAGTCATCTGGAACATAACATTCCTGTAAATGCCGTTTTGTCCCGTCACTGGACACTTTAGCTGTTAAAAGTTTACTAACGTTTATGATCCACAGCTGTTTAAATATTGCATCCAGCCATGGTGTGACTCCAGGGTTGGCTTTCAACAGACTTTTGAGATTTAACACACAAAGGCAGTAATGTGCCCACACCGTCTTCAGGGGACACAAAAATAACACCGAGTTCCAATTAACAGGGCCGTGTCCTATTTGTAGGAAACTTTTAAAGTGAGTTTTCAGAAAAGGGATTTTAATTTTGGAAGAAACCGCCGTCATTTCTCATTTAATGCAAGGAAGATCACAGGCCGTCAGTGAAGTTTTATGTTTCAGTGTTGGATTACGTTGTGTTCATATACAATGATTATGAAGTTTATGGTATATGCATTTCTGTAGTGTCCTTTTAGGGAAGGGTCTCAAAACTTTTCAGTCTGAGGGTCATGATCCGGAAAAAAAAAATCAGTTTAATAAAAGGATTAATAAAATTTAAATGAATGAATAAACACACTCCAAGTTTCAAAAGTTCTACAAGTCTTGTTTAAACGTATCTAAGCTTAAACCTGCTCCCACCCCCTATTCCAAGTCCTATTCTAACTACACTGTAAAATAAAGAAGTGTATACTTACCTAATCTAAGGGTACTCTGGTCTGGTCACATCATCTCCCTAGTGGCCAGCTTCAAGGAAGAGGAGAGAGGAGCAAGAACGGCTGCAGAACCTGGGCAGTGATGTCATCCATAGACTTACTATGGGGTATCTGTTTTCTGCTGTCTCTCCTCTTCCCTTAACGCAGCTCTGGGAGCCAATCCTGTGACCGGACTGGAGCGCCATGAGAGTAGGTAAATATACATATCTTTCCTGTATAGGGCAGTTAGTATAAGGCTTAGAATGGGGGGTGGGAGTAGATTTAAGCTTAGTTAAGTTTATACTAGACTTCTACTTTAATATCAGAAGCTTCCCTTCATATATCATGAGGCTCCCATTACATCCGAAATCCCCCCCTTCACTTTAGAAACCTCCCCATCACATTATAAGCCTCACACTACATCAGAAGTTCCTCCTTCACATTAGAAGGCTTCAAATCACATCATAAGTCTCCAAGAACATTTGAAGTCCCCCTCTTCAGTTTAGAAGCCTATCCTTCACATTAGAGTGCCCCTTTTACATCAGAAACCATCCTATCACATGACAGCCCACATTACATATCAGGGTCCCTATCAGAGTTCCCCCATACATCAAGGTCCCTATCAGAGTTCCCCCATACATCAAGGTCCCTATCAGAGTTCCCCCATACATCAAGGTCCCTATCAGAGTTCCCCCATACATCAGGGTCCCTATCAAATTTCCCCCATACATCAGGGTCCCTATCAGAGTTCCCCCATACATCAAGGTCCCTATCAGAGTTCCCCCATACATCAAGGTCCCTATCAGAGTTCCCCCATACATCAAGGTCCCTATCAGAGTTCCCCCATACATCAGGGTCCCTATCAAATTCCCCCATACATCAGGGTCCCTATCAGATTTCCCCCATACATCAGGGTCCATATCAGAGTTCCCCCATACATTATGATCCCTCTCAGAGTTCCCTCATACATCAGGATCCCTCTAAGAGTTCCCTCATACATCAGGGTCCCTATCAGATTTCCCCCATACATCAGGGTCCATATCAGAGTTCCCCCATACATCAGGGTCCCTCTCAGAGTTCCCCCATACATTATGATCCCTCTCAGAGTTCCCTCATACATCAGGATCCCTCTCAGAGTTCCCTCATACATCAGGGTCCCTATCAGAGTTCCCCCATACATCAGGGTCCCTATCAGAGTTTGCTAACACATCTGGGTTCCGATTAGAGTCCCCTTTACATCAGGGTCCCCATCAGAACAAGCGACTAATCTGGTCATGGATAGAATCTGGTAATGGGCTGGATGTGGCCTGTGACCTGTAGTTTGGAGACCCTGTTTTTCAAAAAAAGTTGGATGAATTTGCAACAGTGAAGGATTAGAACATTAGAACTGTAGTTTGGAGACCCCTGTTTTATGAAAAAGTTGGATGAATTTGCAACAAGGAAGGATTACAACATTATGATTTTGCTGGTAATATCTCTGTTGGGGACATTTCCCTTGACTTCTCGTCCCAGTGACAGGACAGGAAGTCAGGGAAAGTCTCCCTAACAGGAACAGAGAAAGTTGATGTGTTGGGGATTAGATGATTACCCACCACACAACCTTAAGATGTGCCTGTACATCCTCAGGTTGAAGTGGTTATACTGGGATCATGGTTGCAGCTGGAATGTCAGAATTGGCCAAGTTTTGAAGTGGTTAAGTTGAGCAAGGGAGAACTGTGAGGATTTGGTGCCTGAATGTTTGGGTCCTGATAAGGTATGTGCAGGTTTTAAGGTGTTACCCTCAGTTCACACTAATTGCATTTTGCAGGCCGCTGCACGGCATGGCACAGCAGCCCATTCATTTGAATGGACTGCAGTGCCTTGCAAAACACAGGGAAAATGTCCCTGCACCAGGGGCGGACTGACCATTT